GTTAGAAGAAATAAGACTTGAAGCTTATGACAACTCAGTAATTTATAAGGGTAAAGCTAAGGCCTTTCATGATGCCAAACTCACTAGGAAACACTTTGACATAGGTGATAAGGTGATGTTATATAACTCTAAATTACATTTGTTTCTTGGAAAGTTAAGGTCAAGATGGCTTGGACCCTTTGAAGTGTTAGAAACTTTTGCTCATGGGGCTATGGTAATTAGAGGTTTCACTACTAAAAAGATTTTTAAAGTTAATGGACATAGATTGAAGGTGTATCACCAAGGTGAACAGGTTGCTAAGGTCGAGGACAGTTTCCTCGAGGAGCTATGAAATAAGGCAGTAAAGTCTAGCCAGGACTACTAAACAGGGCAGCTAGCACAAAACCAAAAAGAAATTTGGCATTTTAGTCACATCTCTGTTCTCTTTTATATTTAGTTTTTTTCTTTTATTTTCTTTGCATGACCTTTGCATTAGTTTAGGATCATTTTTCTTTAAGCTTTCATTAACTCAATCATCATAACTTGCCTTGAGGACAGTGCATAGACTAAGTGTGGGGGTGTGAAAATGCTTCTCAGCACTTAGATCTATGAAACCCTTGGGTCTTGGATAAAAAAAACTGCACTTTAATCTGAAAAAGAAACAAAAAGGACACTGATTTGTTTTTAAACAAGCTGCATTTGATTTTATTCTAAGTGATAAGGAAGGGTGTAGTTTGTAAGAACATATTAGGAGTTATAAATCTGATTTTCAGACCCTAAAGCAAACACTCCTGCATTTTAAACTTTGCTTATACCAGGCCTGCACAGCTACATATTGGGTGTTTCTGAAAAAAAAAGTGCAGTTTCTGAGTACGAAAAAAGAGAGAGATTTGCAGCTTTTGGAAAAAAAGATTTTTTTAGAAGAAAGAAAAGAAATTTTGGGACTCCTCATACCTGACCACGTTTAAAGAAAAGTATGTGCATCTTTTTAGAGAGAATCTTGATCAAGATTGCAATCTTTTTACTTAACTTATTTTTAGGTAATCTATGTTCAACAGTATTTTGCGTATTAAGTTCATGTTTTGTCTCTTTATTTTTCACATCATTTCTAGGTGAACTGAACTTGCAAAAGTTCTTTTAAATCCTATTTCTAATTTTAAAGATTTGCAAGATGTGCATAT